TTATCAGCTCTCTGTTGGTTTTCCTCCATTAACAACAGAGCAACACTGCTGCCCGAGTCAAGACACATCTGGCTCTGAAGCCTTGGCAAGCTCCAGGGATTGCCCTTGACCTCTCTAATCCTGGGGGCTGTTTCACCATGCCTTGGTCAGCAATGCTGGGGTGAAGGAGGAGCTGGTGCACACAATGTGCCACCCGAGGCAGGGGTGCAATGGATGCTCTACAGGTTCAACGCATGAGACCTGAGCATCCGAGCATCCTTGATCTTCCGGCTCTGCTCAGTACCCCCATCTGCCGCCCCAGGGGACCTGTAAATTAACCATGGAGCTGATGTGGAGCACTCCAGGGCTCTCCAGCTCCTGCACAGCTCAGTGGGATGCTGCCTATGGAGCTTGCACAGGGCAGGGAACCCACGGGGTCTGTTTGCTTGTGCAGTTTCACTGCTGAAGGGCTGAGCTCATGCTCTGGGCATGGGGAGAGGGATTCGAGGAGGTCTGATGTGCCCCAAACCCCATTTTCACACAACTGGCAAGCTGCTAATAGCTGAAACACTGCCAGGTTGGAGCGACACCAGCCCACAGGGTCAGGCCCTCGAAGAAAAGGGAAGGAAGGCACTGTGTGAGGTTACACAAACTTTTCTTGTTGAGAAATAGAGCTCAAAACAAGCTTGGCCTTGGGGGGCAGCTTCCTTAGTGTTGAAGGGATGCAAACTGGGCTCATGGAGGGCTGTGAAACGGAGGTTGGGCATCCAATGGCTGTTCTCCCAACCATGGTCCCTGGGGTTGGCACCAATGTGCTCACCACCAAGCTCTTCAAAAGGCCCTGGGCAGAGGATTGAGCTGAGCTGCCATGGCCTGGGCAGGCTGTGCCCCTGTCCTGTGCTGGGGTGGCTTTGGTAGGTTCTCCCATCAGGCATGGGTGGCATCAAATCACGGACCACAGGTCTAGAGAAAGAGGATGCAAAATGCTCTTCCCACAGAGGTCCTCTAAACAATGATGGGAGAGGACCACAGCAAGGCTCCAGTGATGAGGAGCACCAGACCAATCCTGCCTGCTAACCCTGATCAACCTTTGCCAGAGCTCCCAAATTAAGCCAGGAAGGCCAGGCTTGTCCAGCTCCTCCAGTAACACCAGCCAGGTGAATTGTGCTTCCCATTCAAACGCTCTTCTCCACGCTGCTGGCAGGAGAGGCTTTTTGTGTCCCTGATTAGAGCTGCAAGAGAGGATGGCATTTGACAGCGTGCAGTAAAGAGCTGTGTTTATCCTCTATAATTGCTGCATGCTCCTCTGCCTCCTGCTGAACCTCATCATCCAATTTCTGAGCCTGGGAAACCACGGGGCTGAGCTGCGTTTTCTGTGCTCTGGAGTAGGCTGTAAACAGGGAGAAAATGTATTTCTGAAGGCAGATGTGTCCTGCTGCCCTGGGGTGTTGGGCGATGACCCCTTTAGGGTCACTTGAAGGATGCTGTTGGCAAAGTGGGCTCTGCATCGCCGTGTATCCAGCCTGGAGAAGGGTAAGGAGGGAGAGGGAGCAGACATCTGGGATGCAGGGGCTGTGCATCAAATATGATTTAGATGAAATCCGGTTTAGCCTATTTGCAAGGACAGATTTCAGTCAGATATTGTACAGCTCTCCCAGAGGAGGGGGTGATGATTCCCAGCCACTGAGAACCAAGTAAAACTGTGTTTAACTGGAGCCTGTTAAGAAAACCATCTGCACATCAGGAAGACCCCAAGTCACCTGCCTTAGCTCAAAGCAAGCTGTCAGCACAGGCTGAACAACCTTGGTTTGGCAAAGTGCTGTTGCTGGAGCAGCAAACACAAACACTGAGTGCTCAGCTGTGCTTCCTCTCCTGCTCCTCCCCAGGAAGGAGCCCCATGGGTCTCTCCATGGCTGGACAGAGCAGAGCGATGCTCTGAGTATTGTCTGACCTCCTGCACTTTGCAGACAGCCGGTGTCAGCTGCTAAACTGAGCCTGAAAGCTTGTTTAATTAAGCCCCTTCCCACACCTTCTGCACCAAGAACTGGAGAGCCCCCATCCCTCCAATCATTCTTCTCAGTGGTGAATACCCATGCTGTTAAAGGTAGATTTGGGGGTTTATATTTCATGTTAGAAGAGGTCAGTTCCAGCTTACAGCTACTGCTGCTTCGACCCTTATGGTGCTTTAGTCCTTCACTATTAAACCACTACAATTAAGTCTTTGTGGTGCACTGAGCAGCTTGGGCTTCTCCAGTCCATGGCAGGATGGGATTTCCAGGCTGGGGATAGGGTTTTCTGTCTCCCCTCCAGCCCTTTGTACCTTCTGGACCCCACAGCACTCTGCTTGTCCTCTTCCCAGTCCCCCAGTATCCATCTGCTCCATCCCTATTAGATCTTAGGCAGAGGCTCTTCCCTGTGAGGGTGCTGAGGCGCTGGCACAGGGTGCCCAGAGAAGCTGTGGCTGCCCCATCCCTGGCAGTGTTTAAGGCCAGGTTGGACACAGGGGCTTGGAGCAAGCTGCTCTAGTGGAAGGTGTCCCTGCCTGTGGCAGGGGTTAGAGCTGGGTGAGCTTTAAGGTCCCTTCCAACCCCAACCAGTCTGGGATTCTAATTCCTACTGCTTCCTGACTGGCAGCATGGGGAGAGCTCAGCTTCTGGGCAGGGCAGGACCTTTCTGCCACTAAAATGGGTTGGTTCCTTTAGAGAGGGGCTAAAAAGAGACTTAGGATATAAAATGTTTTCAGATGTTCTCTCAGGGTGGCAGAAGCGCCTGGTGGAGACAGATGGGATGATGGGATTTGGCTTTTCCTTATGGGAAAAGCTCAGTGCACGCACTTTTTTGTGCAGAATAAGACACTGAGCCAGTAACCAGCAATTTGTGGGGAGGGTGCTGGCCTGGGAACACAATCCCAGCCCATGTTCATGCTCTGCCTCACTTGAAAGAGGGATGTTATTTTGGGATGGGTGATTTCCTGGGGGTCTCTAAATGAAAGTGTGAGTTACATTTACCCCTCCGAAGCAAAACAAGCTTCAAAAGCTTAAAGCCCTTTGTTTTTAAAAGCCTTTATTCCTTAGTTTCTGGTGAGCTCAGCAGCTGCTGAGCCTTGCAGTGAGACCAGATGCCTTCCCAAGGAACACTCCTCCCCATGATGGTCCACACTCTTCTGTAAGGGACTTGTTACCAGAATGAGACCCCCCTTCATCCTCAAGGCCAAGAAAATAGGCAGTCTCCTGTCTGGGAGTCATATAGTCATCGAACACCAGGTTGGAAGGGACCTCAAGGATCACCTGGTCCAGCCTTTCTCAGCAAAGCATGACCAAGACTAGATGTCCCAGCACCCTGTCCAGCTCAACCTTAACAGTGCCTAACACTGGGGAGCCACCATTTCCCTGGGGAGATGATTCCAGTGGCAGCTTGTTCTCATGGTGAAAAACGTTCCTCTTGTGTTCAACTGGAATTGAGTGACTTGTGCCCTTCACCCCCCTCCATCACTACATGTGCCAACAGTGGGTGCGGTTGGGAGATGCCAAGGGAGGGCCTCAAATAGATGTTTTTCCATGGCACCATTTCTCCATATGGAGTCTCTCCTAAGGATCAAATCAAGCAGGTTCTCCTCTCAGCCATGGGCAGCAGCAAAAGGACGCTCTTTCCACTACTAGAGATGCACAAAGAAAAGAAACAACCCCAAATCGTTGTATTTTTGTTGAGGCAGAGCTCAGCAGAAGCATTTTCTCATGAAGTATTGGTTTTCATGGAGATCATCAGACTCAAAGTGACTCAGGAGTAAACTCCTCTGCTCTGGTCATATTTCACCTGGGGTATAAGGTTTAACAGCCCAGATCACATAACCTACAGATCAAAACCACCTCAGTGGTGACTGTGCCATTATGGTTTCCCCCTCAGGAAAAATGCTTCCTCCAGTGAGATCAATTTTGCAGCCCAGTTCCAGAAGGGAAAAGCGAACATCAAGCACCACATTTCTCACAAGGCAGCAACGTCTTTTCTCCAATCAGTCCTAATCAATAACAAGCAGAAAAGTCTCTAGTTAAAAAGAAGCCAAGAAGCCAACAGGACATGCACATCCCTTCTCCCTTTACTTAGAAGGGTTTAATTCTGCCCTTCAGCCTCTTTCTGCGCAGGGCTCAAGTTCCCTTTTCTTTGCTTTTTTTAAGGCTGGTTGTCATTTCCTCCTCAAATGCTGTTGCAATGAGGAACGAGCCCTTACAAAAACACCATTTTTGCCTTCCCCTTCTTCAGGAGAGAGGGGCTGTCCGGCAGTGATGGTTTTGCTCGCCCTGTGTGCCACAGGACTCCAGCCCTCCAATCTCTTAACTGCACCCCAACAGAAATGCCCCTTTGGGCAGCATCCATCCAGCGAGGTGATCCTTCAGCTCCCTGCACCAAGAGCTTCACAAGGGCTGCTCAGGAAGCAGGGCAGGAGGACTGGGGCTGTATGGTAGGGTGTAAGGGAGTGATGGGGATGAAGGCATCACCCAGGGCAGGTCTGCAGAGGGGTGGGTAACTCTGGACCCAACCACTTGCACCAGCACTCTCACTGCATTGAGGTTCAGCCCCGCTGGGGTGGGAGCGAGGGTTCAAAGGGAAGGAGGGGAGTCAGCGCAGGGCAAGAGGGCTCCAGTGAGTTTGTCTTCCTTCCTTCTCTTTATTCATAGCCATATACTACTGATCTAATGCAAGGTGTCCCTGTCCATGGCAGGGGGGTGGAACTACACAATCTTAAGGTCCTTTCTAACCCAAACCATTCTGTGATTCTATGAAATCACATTCCCCATGCCCACATGCTGTAGTGCTGCTGGAGCAGCACCCTGGGTGCACACAACACACCACCAGCACTGCTGCTTTTGCTTCTTGGCACACGAAGGCATACGTGAGTTGGTTTTGCTCCTTTATTACCCTTTGCCCAGGCATGGTGAAGAAGCAGCAGCAGCCAGCCCCTGGCCCATGGAGAGTTGTGATTGCAGGGACCTTGCAGAGATTGCCCAAAAGGCAAAGACTTTCACGTTGGGCAAAGACTCCCTTTAATCTGTGAAGTCATGGCTGCTGCTCACCAGAGCAATCCAGCCCCGTCCCTCACATCACTATTGTACTCCAAAGGAAAGATGAAGGGACTTTTTCTGACAGACCATCCAAAGTATAAGCAATTTACACCCTACAGCGTGTAAAGCCCTCCCCACTCCCCCCACCTCCCTCCACATATACATGAACAGAGCATCTGTCTATCCACCCTCTCCCACCCCCAAAACACCCCCCCAAGGCATCCCAGAGCAGCAGCGATACTCCAAATCCCAACTGCAAACACAGGGTGAGCCTTTATCTAACCTTCCCCAGCACTGAAAGTCTAAACACTAAGCTGCTTACATGGGCTAATGGCAATATATCCATGCTGCGAGGCTGCATCTTTCCATCCACCCCCCTCCCTCCCACCCTCCTCGCTGCTTCCCACCTTTTTGCATGTCCTTAACCCAGCGTTTTCTCCCTTGAACCCCTCGGGAGATCACATACAGTGTACGCAGCATGTTCCTGGCGCACAGGGCATGAGAGCCAAGTTCAGTGTCCAACACGGACAAGCTCATCCAGCTGCAGGTATCCCATCCCAGAGCACAGTCTGGTGTATGCCCCCCTCCCACCCAAGACAAGTACATAACAGTGTCCAAGTCCACACATCCAGGGAGGGTTGGGAGCTACAGGCGGCTACTGCAGAAGTCGGAGAGAGGGAAGAAGGCTGATGGTTGACGGCTACAAGGGAGAGCTGGACAGGTTCAACGTGGAGGAAGGAGGAGGGGAAAAACCCAAGAACAAACTCAAAAGGACACTGGGATTCAGGGCTGGATGTCTACCTTCTAGGAAACAGGAGAGGAAAGGGAGAGTTGGTGCTTGATGTGTGTGGGGTTGGGTTTTTTCAGTGTCACTCACGATAGAAAACATATTCGGTGTAAGAGGTCCAGATCCTGTCATCTGTCTGGTCATGGGCGAAGGCACAGGTGCCTGTGGAGTTGCAAGCCACCATGTGGAAGCCAGCATCAGCCAGTTTATCAAAGGCTTGCTCCAGGAAGGTGAATTTGAGGTAGTAGCGGGACGTGTACCTCTCCGGGGGCCGGTCTGGGTCCCTGCTCTCATTCAAGGTATCCCCAAAGACCTCCTTGGCCAGCGAGGTCTTGCCGCAGACCATGATCCGAGCCACCCTGCGGAACTTGGCATCCGTCTGGCTGTCCCTGCCCAGGGTGTAGGAGCCCCGGTAGCCGATGGTGATAAAACCTGCCCTGCGCACATCGCTGCTGGCAGCACCCGCGCCGGTGGTGACGGCACCCCCGGGGCCACCAGGCACAGCGGTGGGGAGCGTGGTGCTGGCAGAGGTCAGGGTGCGGGTGGCATCCGCGCTAGGGGAGAGCTCCTCGGGGTCGCTTTGGCATGGGTCATCTCCCAGTGAGTTCTGCTTGCTGAGCTTGGGGGCCAGCATCTTCACGAGCTCCGGCAGCATGAAGTACTCTGCCTCTCGCTGCAGACGGCTCCTCTCGGGGAAGTGGTCGGGCAGCACCAGCTGCTGGTCCCTCATGTAATCCAAGATGTAGCGGAAGAGGAACCCATCCCGATCCACAAAGAACCGTCCCTTGCTGTCCCGGGCCAGCGAGCGGACGTTCTTCTGGGTGAACATCTCCCAGAGGAGCGAGCCGGGCACGCTGACCAGGGTGGGGTGGCGGGTGATGTACACTTGTCCACCCACATTGAGTTCAATGATCTCGGGGAAGGGGAAGTCCTCGCTGGGTTTGGCACAGCCCGTGTTGTCTGCCAGGGCCATAGTGAGCTACTGCTGCCTTCCCACCTGTGACAGAAAGCAGCAAGGTGTTAAGCCTGCCAGCAAGCACAGCCTGCTTTCCTACTGATCCCAAGCCAAGCACTTTACTTGGAGCAGCAGTCAGAGCAGGATCAGGCCCCTGCCTCTCCAGGGGTCTGGAAGTCAGCTCTCCTCCCTAGTCCCTGGCTCTTGGAATAGGCAGCAATTATTTCTAATGCTGCCCTCTCTGCATTGCCCGTGGCCCCACCAGTCAGCTCCTGGGGCTCAGCACCTTTCATGTGGAAGGCACAATGACACTGATGTTAACAACAGGAAAGCAGGGCTGTCACACCCCAGCTTTGAGCGGCGACCTGCCTGGCCCAGCATCCTGCCGAGCGTGCCAAGGGAGGGCCGCATTACGGCACCGTGTCTCCTGCCAAGCTGGTGAGCTTGGAGGGGACTTCGTGGTCCGTGCAAGGAGCGCACACAGGTCTGCCAGAAAAGCCACACTGGATACCACTATAAAGGACAGAGTGACAGTGCCTTTTGGCACTCCTGCTCCATCCTGGCTCCTGGAAAGCACTTGGTGAGACTTAAAGCCAAGTGGAGAGCAGGTGAGAGGTGGCAGAACATCTCCTAGGGGCTGGGACCAAGACAAACACTGTGCTGCTGGGTACAGCTTGGGCTAGATGCCATATTTATGCATTTCCAAAGGCAGGCTCATTCTTAGCCATCTCTTGACAGTGCAAATCAGCACTTACATAAACTGGCTCATCAGACGGACTCCGTATCCAGCCTGGCCAAGCCATGCTCCATGCAGGGATGTGGGAGATGATGGAGAGAAGGGGTTTCCCAACTGCCTGGCAGGGTTGGCCTCATGCTCTTCCCGCTGTAGCATATTAGGGCAGCCCTGGGAGTGCTGTGAAGTCGGCAGCAGCTGCCTGCACCCCCAAGGACTGGTCCCACAGCCATGAAACGCTAAACCTTGCCCCATCCTTGTGTCCTGTGTGGCTTCAGAGGAGCCCCACAAAAGGATCCTAATGCGAATTGCAGGGAGACTAAAGGGCAAAGATAAAAACTCTGTGAGCACTTTTGGGTGGTGGTGGGGGAGAGCTGAGCCTGCATTTTATGGGCAGGCACCGCCTCCCAGCTCGTAGGGATGCTCAGGGTGAATGGTGTTTGAGCAAGGAGTGACTTGGACAAGCCAAGAAGAGACTGCATAGAGAGCCAGCGCGCTCCCAGCTTCCTAAATCCTCTCCCGCAGCGGCGTTCAGTCCCTTTTCCCGGTGCTCCCCGCTACAGCACACCCGGAGGGACCCCGCCTGTGCCGGGAGCGCGTTGGAGAGAGCCGGGTCCCTTTGTCACGGCTGCGGCCGGAATCCGAGTCTGCAGCCGGGGGACACACACAGGGACCCCCCCAACCTCCGCCTGCCGCTGGCTGCGAGAGCTGCCGGGACCGGGGACCTTTGAGTCAGCCCCGAGTCACCCGGGGGACCCCGCTCCGCGTCCTGCCCCATCCCGCTTCCCTCACCTCCGCAGCGCAGGGCGGCCCGGGCCGGGTCGAACCGGTGCGATCTGATCCGGGCCGTGCCGAGCCGAGCCCTAGTCCGATCGGTCCAGATGAGATGCGGTCCGCTCCCCTCCGCTCTCTGCCGCCGCTCCGCTTCGCTCTGCCCGCCCGGCCCTGGCGCTGCCGTTTTATGTCCAAGCAGCCGCCGAGCGCCCTCCCCCGCCGGCCCCGGGCCCGCCTCGCCTCCTCCCCTCCGCTTCCCCCCGCCACTGTCTCTATCACCCCACCCGCCCAGCCCTGCATCACCCCGCATCGGGGAGCTCCGTGCTGGGGATTCCAGCAGTGCTCCTATTCATCAATCCATCCATCCATCCATCCATCCATCCATCCATCCATCCACCCATCCACCCATCCATCCATCCAGCAAGGCAGGATTTGCTCCTAATGCCACTTCCCTGCTGGGAAAAAGCCCAACAGCATCTCAATCCCCAGCAGCATGTCCCGGGGTACCTGCCCTGCACCCCTAGAGCTGGCTGGCGTTTCTCATTCTGTTCCAAAATGCCAGTTTTCTGTAAAGACAAGAGAGCACAGTGATTCCAAAGAACATCCCAATATTTGCCCATTTCCTAGAAGTCTGGTGAAGAGAGCCCAAAATCGAGCTTCTGTGTCAGTGAAGCTGACCCGAGTTTCTTCATGAGTTCATTTACATGTACCTGTCAGATGTTGTAAGGGCAGAAGACAGAGTTTCTGCTCCACCTGAAGAACAGATCCCACACTGGGTCTGGGAACCAAGATCCAAGGAATCCTTCTGTTTGGGTTTCTCATTGCTGGTTTCTTGCATCCCAGCAGTGTCATTGCACAGATGTGTGATACGGTCACCAGAAGTACACTTAGAGGTGGGACATCTCACTGAATAAATAGATGGGATGATTGTACACCTCTGAATAGTCAGGCTGGGATGCTGTTCCCTGGGTCTGTCAGTAGTTTGGAAGAACAAATCCATAGGTATAGAATAAATCATAGCTCCCCCAAAATCCCACCTTAGCGGAGGTGCCCGGAATTCAGCATCCTCCTGTGAATTCAGGGTCTCTGATTATCAGTGGTGTGGATCAGGCCTCAAGGCTCACTTTTCACACCTCAAACCAGGACCTTTCCCATGTGCTTATTTAGTGGAATATATTTATGGGGAAAGATAAAAAATGGGAGAAAGTGCTTTGGGGGTATAGAAATGAACAACAAAATTTGCTCCAAATTACAGAAATAGAAGTAAAAAAAAAGGGGGGGGGGAAGGGGAAATAGGAAATGTTTTTGACAACGTAACTTTCTTTACCTCAAGATTTTGTTTCACCTGCAAATGCTATAAATGGAGAGAAAAAGAAGTTGGAAGCTTGGAGAGCCAAATTCCTCCTTCAGCCCATCCTCCCTCTCACCCATCAGGGCTTGCAGAGAAGCAAAGGACATAGAAAAGATTATCTGTACCAATTTCTCTGCTGCTCCCTGGCCAAAATCCTGGTGTCTGACTTATAGAACCTTATCTGATGCCAGCACGGGCAGACGTGAAATAAGGAACCCTGTTAAAAAGGCTTTTGGATATGAACAAGTGTGAGCAGGCAGATGCAAGTAACTGGCAGGCTGCATGCAGGCAGCTGTGCTTGGCATTAAAGCCTCCACTGAGGGCTCTAACTCCCTAAAGCACCCTGGTGTGCCTATGGAAAGGGTTGTTCACTCAATGTGGGGCTCAACAAGGACTGAAAGTGATGGGTTTTGTTTGCAGGAGCTGCCATGACTTGTGCTTTCCTCCCAGCACTGGTGCAATAAGGGAAGGGAAAGCTGGAGGGGTCAGTCTGTTGAATGCATTAGCCTTTAATTTCTGGAAGTACACTAAATTCCTCCTCTGTCCAGTCCACTGTTATCCCCAAATCTACCAGAAAGGGATCTCTTTGAGACCTTACAGCGCTCCATCCAACTCAGCTGAAACTGCCCAAGGAACTCAAACTATCTGTGGGAGGGCAGAGCAGAGGCACACGCTGTCTCGCACACAGCACATGCAAACGTATTCATCTTGTTTCCTTAGGAAACGAGCCTAAAAATAACCTGAGCTTGATAATGCCTTCGGAAGGCTACAAAAGCAAGGCTTTAGTTGGAGACATCCCACAGAAAATGCTGTACCCGTTGCCCTTGGGAAGGTGGCATTGCTGCATGGAGTGGGAGCTGCAAGGCTGGAAGGATGAGGACCATATTTTAGGGTCAGTGGAGGGATGGGAACCTTATTTTGGGGTAAGAAGAGGAATGAGGACCTTATTTTGGGGTCAGAAGAGGGATGGGGACCTTATTTTGGGGTCAGACAGATACTGTGCACCATGATGCATAGAGGATTGGGATGAGAGCTCAGGACAGGCAGCAGGAAGGATGCTGGTGTTGAGGTTCTGGGAAGCTGTGGAGGAAACATAGTTAGCCTCAGCTGCTCAAAGCAGGGGTCCAGGCATGTAATAAATACATCAAGGTGGGTATTTACCCTGTGTCTGTGCCATTAGATCCTGAAAGAGCGAGTTCAGTCGCTCTCCTCTGGTCTCCCTTTGGACTGGGGTGATGGATGTTAGATGCCATTTTCCTCTCTGGTTGGTTGAAGATGGAAGAGGCTCATTCTGCCTGCAAAATCCTGTCCACCATCACCTGAGCATCACTCCTCCCTTCCACAGACCTTCCCACCCAGGTGAAGATGCACTGTGCTGCTTTAGTGCTTTGTCCTCCGCATTACAAGACTCATATGAGTGCAAATACCTTCATGAACTGAAATGGAAAACATCCAGGCCACTGCTGACGTGTCTTGATGCAACTTGAAATGTGATCTCCAGAGAAGGGGAAGATGTTTGGCACCACAGAAGCAACGAGGGGGTCTGGAAATGCAGGAGAAATTGCCAAGAGGTTTTATAAAGCAGCCTGTACAAGTTCTTCCTTAAGAGAGTGAATTTGGGGCCCTCTCTGACTTCAGAGGCGTTTATCAACCACAGCAGTGGAACATGATTCATCCATGTCCCAAGAGAAGGGAGGAATGGGCTTAATGTGTGCGTGTGTTTGTGTCCACTCTGTTATTACACAGAATGTGGTCTGGTGATTGCAAGGAAGGCGCTGCACAACCTCCTGGCTGCTATTTCCAGCTCTATGTGTTTGCTGAGCTTGGACGCAACTCGCTTCACTTCACAGTGCCTTGAGCTCCCCATCCTCAGACTGTGGGGTTCTGCCCTCTCTCCAGTCACCTTGAGCATCCCTAAAAGCCCCATTGTGCTGCTCCAACACTCCTTATGCATTTTTAAGCGTGGAAGGGCCATAAACTGCAGATAAGACAAATTTTTCCATTGCCTGACTTTTTTCTCCTCCAAAAAGGAAAAAAATATAGTAATAAATCAGGTATGCGCCCTGCTCTGACGATGATGTTGTGATACATCACGCTGCAAGGATGTTGTCACAGAGAAAGCGATGCTACTGCACCTGCTACATCAGTTTCTTATCTAGAGATAATGGAGAAATGCGCATTGAAGGAGAAATATTTATGAGAGGAAAAACCCCATATTTCATGTGGGTCAGAAAGGTCCAGCACGCAGAGGTTCAAACCCCACTGTGCCACTGTTATGACTCATGAATGAGGGCTAAATGCAGGAATCTTTCATCCTTAAACAGAGCTGAGCTAGTCCTAAAAGGGCAGCGGAAGCACCGAGTGCAAGGCTCTGATGGAGCATTAGTTTCAATACATTCAGGGTCCCATGGCTGTATCACCATCAGTCAGTGGGAAAAAAAGTAAAAATCACACTCTACAGAATCCCTGTCCCACCCCTGTGCTTCCAGCTCTGTCTCCCTCATCCCTATCTGCATTTCTCCTCTCTTCTTCCCCTATGTAGTGTTTCTTTCTGTTTTCCTCTTGCCATTCCCTCTCTATGAGTTAATTAAAATCCCACCATGAGGTTTTAGAGCATCAGTGAGAATAGTGGAGGGTCAAAAGGGTCTCGCCTCGAATCACTGCTACCACACAAGCTCCTGGGTACCCATAAACCAGCAGCAAGCCCCTACCAGCATCACTGAGATGTATCTATGACTCTTCCCTCATCTCCTTCTCCAGGAGCTGTACAGGTCTGCTGGTAGGCACAGACCGACATGCACACGTGAAGTTAACTACAAGTGACGAGGCTTTCATTGCTTCAGACACCTCTCTGCTCTCCCTGCTGAGGACTCGCTGTGTCTGAAGGAGCAGCCTGGAAACTCTAGGCACTGCCATCTATAAAAGGTGGTTAATCTGCTTCTGCTTGGTGAGGAGCTCAGGTGCCTTTGCAGCTCTGGAATGGAGCAGGTAAGCAACCACATACATCTGACCCCGCTGTCATGGTCCTGTTGGACTTCAGGTTGGCATGTCAATAATTTACTTATACATCTGATCTGGCCCATTTTTAGCAGCATCTGCCAACTTGCACTACAGTTGTGGTGTCCTTTCTGTGACAGATAGGTTTGGACAAGGAAGGAAAAAGGCTATGCTTAATGGTGCGCTTTAATTGGCTTTTCATTATGAAAGCTTAGATGTCCCTGCAGCAAAGTGGGGTTAGAAATCAGAGACAGGATGAGGACTAGGCTGTAAACTCCTCTCGGAATGTGGGAGTTGCTGAGGATCAGGGTTTTGGTTTGGTGTCATCACTAAAAGATGGTTTTCTAGGATCCTCTTGGGCAGTGATGAAACCAGCATCATTACCGCTGACTTCAGGGATGATGTATCAGAGATCCATCTCCATCCTGTTCACTATTTGTTAACAGTAACAAGAACATGCGTATCCACTGATCTCATTTCACCATCTGGACTCAGAACTGGATGGCCACTTGGGAACTACTCATCCCTGAAGCAGAGATGTCTCATGCAGCCTTTTCTCCATGACCTCTTTCAAGCTGGTAACTTCTTCAAGCCATGGCACAGGACCAAAAAGGCCACTGCATTTGAGGTGAGCACTGTCAGAGGAAAACCCAGAAGGAAAGGAGGCTGGAGCAGGTTTAGAAACGAATCACCATGTCTTCAATATTCAGAGAGAATGGGCTTAAAGAGTGGCCTGGCATCTTCTGAAGAGCAGCAA